AGACAGCGCCTTTTAGAAGCACTGGCTAATATGGGCCTTTAGCAGCACTTTTGAAAAGCGCTGGCTAATAGGGTCCTTTAGCAGCGCTTTTGAGATTTTTTTAAAATTTTATATGACTTTAGACAGCGTTGTCTAAAGTGGTCCTTTACCAGCGCTTTTGATAAAGCATTTTCTAAAGCAACACTTTTAGCAGCGCTTTTTAAAAGCGTTGTCTAAGGTCACATTTTTAACAGCGCTTTTATTTATTATTGTATACAGTTTCTGTGTTTTTTTTAAATTCACTTAGCAGTGCTTTTGTATAAAAGCGCTGTCTAATGTGCGTTGTTAAAATTTATTTTTGGCGTAGTGGTAATTTTACCTGATCTTCAGTATTATCATTATTTGGTTTGCACATCGAGCATATCTCATAGAATTTAGCAAGATGCACCCAAGGATCTTTGATTTCTTGCTCGTCGAACGAGTTCCCTTACAAACCTCAAAATAAAGAATTTTTAATATCAAAAGTTATAGGATTAGTCGGTTGAAATCCTGATATCTGTCCAACATCAATCCTACTGCAATAGTCCCTAATGTTTGTCGTGCTGGAGCGAACATCTTTTATCTTCTTATAGTTCTTCTATAACTTGGAGTGTTTCTCATTTTACTCTACGAATTGTGTGCATTGCCCTTTCGATTTTTGGGTCGATCAAAATCAGTGTCGAATTTGAATTTCGCATAAATAAACAAACAATACATTAATAGCACCACACTATACAGAACAAAATAAGAGTAGAAAATAAAAATAAAATTCAAAATTACTAATATAAAATAGAAATATAAATCTAAAATTACTATAAAAAAATAAAAATCCTAAATTAAAAACCTCCCACTAAATTTCCTTTTGAAATTATTAACGATTTTCAGCGACAGAGTCAAAAACTTGATAATAATTTTAACAAGTATATTGAATTTTTTTTTGCAATAACCAGGTATTAAAAAAAATCGCAAATAACCATGTTTCAGAAAAAATTACACAAATAACCATGTTTCAGATGACTCCCCAAAGGAGGAGCCATCTCACTTGGCGCCTACACCTATTATTTAAGGGGAGGCGCCATCTCACTTGGCGCCTAGGTGCTTAGGGCTTGCCCTAAGCCAAGTGACATGGCACCTTAGTGCATTTCTAGGGCAATTTTCGCGTTTTTTTTTCAATCTGGTGCATTGCGTATTCGATATAGGATCAACAAAATTGACTTTTTATTTACAAAAAATGATTACACCCATAAGTATTACATAAAAAAATACAGATTAAAAAAATACAGATTAAAAAAAACAGATTAATCAGTGGTCTCCCGGAACTCGGTAATGACCCCCGGTTCCGCATCCTCGTCCTCGCCTTTCCCGTGCTGGGTGTCATTGCATTTCCTGCTGTGGCAGGGTCGATGGCCCAGCGAAGTCAATGCGTTCTGGATCCATGAAATCAGTCAGATCTCCATATCTAGAAGATCCGCTTTGGTACAGTCGGTTACCCATACCCTCAAAGTTTGGTCGTGTTGGCGGTGGGTGGGGTTCTATGGTGGGTCTGTAGCATTGATCGTCTGAGTACAGGGGGTAGAAAGGAAATGGATCTTGGGGTGTTTGGTATTGAGGATGTTGGGTGGTTTGGCGATACTGTGGTTGATGGTAAGTTGGGTCGGTTGGTTCATAATCTTCCGACATTCCTAGATCAGGGCTAAGGCTGGATGTTGAGGGGCCCATATTGGGATATACAGAAGACTGAAATTGTGTGTGGGGTATGCGGGTGTGTTAGTATTGTGATTGGAATTGCGGTTGGGTGTGAGGCATATGGGAGTATTGTACTGAGGTGGTGATTATGGTTGGTTGTGGGGCATTTGGGTGTAATTGTGTTGTGGTGGCGACTGTGGTTGGGTGTTTGTGGTTCTGTTTCGTCTGGGGGGTTGGTGGGAGGTTGATGTGTGTTGGGTTTGTTGTTGGGGAAATGAGGGTTGTGCCCATTGTGTTCGTGGGTCAACCAAATACCTTGAGTGAGACATATGCATTTTAGGGTTACTAACCGACCTGTACCAAGATAAATACTGATCGGTGTGTCGCATATTACCATGATTGAGGAAAATTGGGAACTGCAAGACATGTCGGTGACGCCTCTGCCACATCTTACACCATTCTGGAGAAAAGTCTTTCCAGTTGGTAAGACCCCACTGGGCGTCAACCCTTTTGAGATGCCACGGGGACAAACAAGTCGGATCACTGGGTATCTCTTGATGCATTCCGAGCTGCATCTTCACACGGTCGCTGTGGTGCATCTCCACAATATTGAACCGTATGATTGCAGTCTTAGCGCTCCAAATTGCTGCATCCTCGGGATTTGGTTCATGGCCCAAACCCAAATATGGTCTCCAGACAAACTGCGCATAAAATTAAATCAGGTTAATGAAAGCGTAATACATAAATAAATTAAAAGTAGAAAAGTTGAAAGGTATGGCGTACATCATTCGGGACTAGGTGATCCAATAGATTGTGGTATAATGTGACATTGAATCTTGGATTCTTGCCGTAATCCATACCCCTCACACAATACCTAAAGGAAATGAAAAATATTTTATTTTTAACATATATTTGGTGAAGAGATGAACAGTAATAAATGATATAACTAGATGACTTACTTTGTTGCGTACGGGAAAACGAATGTGTTGTTGTTGACGGGGTTTAGGGACTCCATCCTCCACCAACCCCAGGCTTGAAGTAAAAAAGCACAGCCATAAAATGTACATTTTTCTTTGATTGCATTTTTGCACAAGGAACTGTATAGGTGGGCTAAAACAGCAGAACCCCAACTATACTTTCTAGTTTTTTCGAAATCTCTAAGTAAATTTAAATACATAAAATTTACACTATTTCTCGTACTTTCGGGAAATAAAAAGGTTCCAAATAGTATCATTAGATAAGTTCTAGCTTTTATTACCCTGTCTTGCTTGGAGGAATTTTCGTTTAATTCCAAAGTTGCATAATGATTTTTAAGCTCAGTTAGTAGTATACCCCGACCTCTCGCACCACCACCTTCAACCATATCCCTGCCCAACAATTCTTCACACAGAGAATTGGGTTATTGAACTGACCCGTTGACGGCCTTACCATCAACAGGGAGACCCAGTAACATGTACACATCCTCTAGCGTGACGGTACATTCACCTATTGGTAGGTGAAATATATGGGTCTCTGGTCTCCACCTTTCCAACATGGCAAGTATGAACTTTGAATCTATTGTACAATTGGAGATCTTTATAACATGTCTGAAACCTGCGTATTCCAGATATGGTACGATAAATTGGTCGGGAGCCAGGTAGTTGTGAGACCGGATTCTGAATCTTTTGGTATCCTGAGTTAATAATGTAAAGGTGTAAGATTAAGTAAGATGAATAAAGTATTACCAGAAGTATAAAAAATGTATAACTATAAAAGAAACTTACAAATGCCGCAATGTTGTCCCTTGTGTCTCTGTGAGAATCCCCCATTGTGAGAAGTGCCATTGTTGAAAATGCCTGAGATTATGAAAGACAGAAATTGTAAGAGATTATGAAAGACTTTGTAGCAGAGAGTGAGACGGTTGTGGGTGCGAGAGAAGTATGTTATGCTCTGTATTTATAGGCAAAAAAATTTCATAGAGTAACTTAGGTGGTAGCTGGTGCATGCATGCATGATAAGTGTCACTCTTGCAGTGAAGGCGCAGGCTAGGTGGCAGCCTTGGAGAAGGCATCTCTGCATGCATGTAACACGATTGGACATTAATGGAGGCACCATTGGACTTGGCGAAAGAGTACAAAAATGAAAGGTGTCGCCATCCCCATTGGCGAATAAGAGGTGGCACGGGTTGCAGAGTAGGCCCAGGATAGGTGACAGTCTTGGAGAAGTCATGCCTGAATGTATGTAACACTATTGGAGGTGATGGGAGGAGACTTACATGTTACAGTGTAGTTGCAGAGTAGGCGCAGGCTAGGTGGTAGCCTTGGAGAAGGCATCTCTGCATGCATGTAACACGATTGGACATTAAGAGAGGCGCCATTGGACTTGGCGAAAGAGTACAAAAATGAAAGGTGTCGCCATCCCCGTTAGCGAATAAGAGGTGGCACGGGTTACAGAGTAGGCCCAGGCTAGGTGACAGCCTTGGAGAAGCCATGCCTGAATGCATGTAACACTATTGAAGGTGATGGGAGGAGACTTACATGTTACAGTGTAGGTGCAGAGTAGGCGCAGGCTAGGTGGCAGCCTTGGAGAAGGCATCTCTGCATGCATGTAACACGATTGGACATTAAGGGAGGCACCATTGGACTTGGCGAAAGAGTACAAAAATGAAAGGTGTCGCCATCCCCATTGGCGAATAAGAGGTGGCACGAGTTGCAGAGTAGGCCCAGGCTAGGTGACAACCTTGGAGAAGCCATGCCTGAATGCATGTAACACTATTCACTACGCCAAAAATAAGCTTTAGCAGCACATAAAAGAAAGCGCTTTTGGAAAAAAGCGTTGCTGTAGGTTTTAAAAAAAATTTGCTTAAAAAAGCGCTTTCAAAGGGTGCCTTAAGAAAGCGCTTTCAAAGGGTGCCTTAAGAAAGCGCTTTTCAAAAGCGCTTCTAAGGTCACCCTTAGAAAGCGCTTTTTGGGAAGCGCTGCTAAAGCTGGCCTTTCAGAGGGTACCTTAAGAAAGCGCTTTTCAAAAGCGCTGCTAAAGGTCAGCCTTAGCTGCTAAAGCTGGCCTTTAGAAAGCTCTTTTAAAAGCGTTGCTATAGGGTATGCTATGAAAACGCTTTTTGATGTAAAAGCGCTGTTATAGATGACCTTTAGAAAGCGCTTTTAAAAGCGCTTTCGTAGGCAGTTATTGTGGCCCATTAGTTAAGCCCATACCCGAATTATTATTATAAGTTATTCAATAGAAACCCTTGTTGGAAACCATTTGCAGTATAGTCGCTCATCTTCGTTTCTCACAGCATCCCGTGAAGCCGCTCCAAAATGGTTCGTTCGTTTTCACAGCTTCTTGAATTTTAAACTGTTATTCTAATTTCATTCTTATGTGATTATTGTTTGTGATTTTGGTTACAGACTAAGAGAACCAAGAAGGCCGATATTGTTGGCAAATACGGTACGTTCTATCAATTTTCTTATTTTTCAACATTTTTTCTTGTTTGTTGTGCTTTTCGGTTTTCAGATTTTTTTGTTTTGTAGATATTTATTTCATTTCAATTCACTATAAATGTGTTTGTTATAACCCTAAAAACTTTGTGGGTTTTTTAATTTCAATTAGATTTAGCTTAGATTTATTTGCTTCTAATTTAAATGAAATTCTCAGCTAAGATGAGTTTATGGTTTTTGTGTCATAAATGGTGATAAATGATAGGTTTGTGTTCTAATTTCAGGCACCCGATATGGTGCTAGTTTGAGGAAGCAAATTAAGAAGATGGAAGTCAGTCAGCATAGTAAATTCTTCTGCGAGTTTTGTGGAAAGGTAGTTTTTTAAGGTGTTTTGTGACGAGTTTTTTCGATCTGCATTGGTTGATTATATTCTCAATTTGTTGTATGTAGTATGTTGTTAAGAGAAAGGTTGTTGGTATTTGGGGCTGCAAAGATTGTGGGAAGGTTAAGGCTGGTGGTGCTTACACTGTGAAGTAAGAATCTTGCTCAAAAAACATGTTTTCTCAATTGATTAATTGCTTGTATATAGTTGCTAACCTTGTGATTTTCTTTGTGCTTATTATTTTGACAATACTGCCAGTGTTGTGACTGTTCGGAGTACCATCTGAAGGTTGAGGGAGCAGACTGAGAGTTAGAAAGGAAGCAGTATTACAATTTGGTTATTTTTTGTTTTCAAAGTTATTGCAGAAACTCTTATACGTCCTTAATTATTGTTATATTTGATTTGGATATTTGAGGAAGGTTTTGTAAGTGTATCAGTTATCTTTAGATTATTGAGTACTATTTAGATTATTGAGTACTATTTAGTTTGAGCCACATCTTCTTAATATTCTTATGAATTACAGGTTATGGCAACTGGTTTATATAAATAATATACTGCAAACAATACAGGTATATGAATTATATAAATTATACCTCTAAAAAAAACACCCTATGAAAGCGCTTTTTCAAGAAAAATGTTGCCTTAGGTAACCTATTAAAGCGCTTTTTCACAAAAAGCGTTGTCTAAGGTAACCTATGAAAGCGCTTTTCCAGGCAAAAGTGCTGCTAAAAGACCACCTATGAAAGCGCTTTTCCAGAAAAAAGCGATGCCTTAGGTAGACCTATGAAAGCGCTTCTTCATAAAAAAGCGCTGCCAAAGAATACATATGGCAGCGCTTTTTCGTAAAAAAAAAAAAAAGCACTGTCTAGACCTACGGCAGCGCCACCATAGGCAGCACTTTTAAGCGCTGCTAAAGGGTAAAAAAAGCGCTTTCTTAGGTCTTTTTTGGCGTAGTGATTGGAGGTGATGGGAGGAGACTTACATGTTACAGTGTAGGTGCAGAGTAGGCGCAAACTAGGTGGCAGCCTTGGAGAAGGCATCTCTGCATGCATGTAACACGATTGGACATTAAGGGAGGCGCCATTGGACTTGGCGAAAGAGTACAAAAATGAAAGGTGTCGTCATCCCCATTGGCGAATAAGAGGTGGCACAGGTTGCAGAGTAGGCCCAAGCTAGGTGACAGCCTTGGAGAAGCCATGCCTGAATGCATGTAACACTATTGGAGGTGATAGGAGGAGACTTACATGTTACAGTGTAGGTGCAGAGTAGGGCAGGCTAGGTGGCAGCCTTCGAGAAGGCATCTCTGCATGCATGTAACACGATTGGACATTAAGGGAGACGCCATTGGACTTGGCGAAATAGTACAAAAATGAAAGGTGTCGCCATCCCCATTGGCGAATAAGAGGTGGCACGGGTTGCAGAGTAGGCCCAGGCTAGGTGACAGCCTTGGAGAAGCCATGCCTGAATGCATGTAACACTATTGGAGGTGATGGGAGGAGACTTACATGTTACAGTGTAGGTGCAGAGTAGGCGCAGACTAGGTGGCAGCCTTGGAGAAGGCATCCTTACTTAATTCAAATTCAGTATGACCTATTTAGTCTTACATTTATTAAAACACTGATTCACTTAATATGTCAAACCTTCCAACCTTCAAACCTTCATACAATCAAACCTTCAAACCTTCATACAATCAAACCTTCAAACCTTCAAACAATCAAACATACAAACCTTCGAATAACTCATAAACTTCAAACCTTCCAACCTTCCAACCTTCAAACCTTCAAACAACCATACGCAATGGCCTCTGCACCCCAATATGTCATCAATGCACATTTCAACGGTGATACATACATTTGTCCCACCTCTGGGTTTTTGTTTAGAGACACAGATAACATCCGATTTCTTTTAAACGGGAAAGCCAATTTCTCGTACTTCAAAAAACGATTGGAGGCCAAACTTGGACGAGGCCCGGTGACACAAATATTTTATCAGAATCCAGTTTTCTTTTGTAACAACCAAATAATATTTTATAAGGTTGAGTTTCAAGATGAAGAGGATCTTCATAATATGTTTTCTAGTCATGTGTATTCTGGGTACGACTCTATTGAGTTGTACATTATGCTGCGAGAGCCTCAGGTGACACAAGTGGTTGATCCTTTGGAAACCGAACAAGCAGAGGTAGATGCAGTTGATGAAGAAGAAGAAGATGACGAGTTAGAGTTTGATGAAATGGTGAATGATGATTCCGAAGACGATGGGATACCTGGTATTCCTGCAAACGAGATCTACACACCACCTCCGCACATGACAAACTTCAACATGGTCGGAGATGAACCGTCTTCTGATTTATTTTTCAATTTGTATATGCAGTCGGATGAAAACTTAAAAGAGAAGGACAAGTTTCGTAACAGAGAGGAATGCATCAGAGCCATAAAAAATTCCACATGCTCAACTCGGTCGATTTTAAGGTGGACCGTGTCAACCCAGAAAGGTACAAGATCAAGTGTGTCCACCCTGATTGTATGTTCAAGCTCACTGCATCATACAGATTAAGAGGTGATTGATGGGTTATAGGTTTCATGTCTACCCACACTTGTGTCAGTTCTACCCAATCACAAGACCATCGAAAACTTAATTACGATCTCATTTGTCAAGAAATCCTACCACTCGTCAGCAACGACCCATCTTTGAAGGTGAAAACCATCATCTCCCACATCACTATGGTTTTTAACTATACTCCGTCTTACCGTAAGACGTGGTTAGCAAAGACCAAGGCGATTCAAAAGGTGTACGGAAACTGGGAGGAGTCATACCAAGAACTTCCTCGCTACCTGAATGCACTCAAGACTTATTCTCCGGGTACTGTTTACATTCTGAAAACAGTGCCAGCATACGCCCAAGATGGTAGTCAACTAAACGGAAACGGAATATTCAGTCAAGTGTTTTGGGCATTTCAACCTTGCATCACAGGGTTTGTATCATGCAGACCAATTATACAAATTGATGGGACTTGGTTGTATAGGAAATACAAAGGCACGCTACTGATGGCGGTTGCACAAGATGGCAACAAAAACATTTTCCCAATTGCCTTTGCCCTAGTCGAGGGGGAGACCGGTGGTGCTTGGAGCTTTTTTCTGAAAAACCTGCGGACACACGTGGCTCCTCAACCAGATCTCTGTTTAATCTCGGACATACATGCCTCCATTGAAAGTGCCTACAATAATCTTTCAAACGGTTGGCATGACCCTCCTTCTACGCATGTCTATTGTGTTAGACATATCATCCAAAATTTCACGAGGGAGATCAAGGACAAAACACTAAGGAAAGTGGTTATGAATGCGGGATATGCATTGACACAACCCACTTTCAAATATTACCGCAACGAGATCCGTTTGTCAAATTCGGAAGCCGGTAGGTGGATGGACAATATTCCGGTGGAAAAATGGACTAGGTCATACGACAATGGCCAAAGATGGGGGCACATGACAACTAATCTAATTGAATCGATGAATGGGGTATTCAAAGGCATACGAAACCTCCCGATCACTGCTTTGGTAAAATTTACGTATTTTAGGATGGCTTCGTTGTTTGCCAAAAGAGGTGAAATGTGGAATGCAGTGTTGCAATCTGGACAACTATGGAGTGAAAGTTGCATGAAGTACATTAAGGCAGAAAGTGCCAAAGCCAACACTCATATGGTTATACGGTTTGACCGATACAGCCACAACTTCATTCTGAAAGAGACAATCGACCACAATGAAGGCCTGCCAAGACAAGAATATAGGGTTGTACTACCTTCTCGTTGGTGCGATTGTGACAAGTTTCAAGCATTTCGTATGCCTTGCTCTCATGTCATTGCCGCTTGCGCTTATACCCATCAAGACGCGCTACAACTTCTGTCACACATTTACAAATCTGAAACGTTGCTCAACGTTTACAACAACAGCTTTCCTTTGGTAGCAAAACCAGATTATTGGCCTGCATACGACGGCGAAATAGTGTGGCACAATGACCAAATGCGAAGGAACAAGAAGGGTCGTCCCAAAAGTAAGCGCATCACAACCGAAATGGACGACCTTGACAAGCTGGAAAGAAAGTTTGGTTTATGCCGTCAGGTCGGACACAATCGCAAAAATTGTCTGAATCGGGCGTCTGCCTCGACCACATAAAAATTGTAATACATAAAATCTTTCCTTAATTATGTTGTAAACATTAGGGTTTTTCGTTAACAGTATTTGCTACAAAAAATATTGCGCGTACAAGAAAAAAACACGATATTCCGTCTACGAAATTACAACTGTTAAAACAATTCCATCTGACCCATGCATCATCAACATTACGTCGCTGTCTGTTTTGACTTCCTCCAACCATACATTAGGTCTTCCAGTCGCATGTGAGGTTGTTGTTCGTCTTCGCTGGATCCTTCGAATTTTTCCCCCTCCACAATGTCTCCATCTAGCCATCGCATCAACTTCCGCTTCAGACGCTCCATGGAGTGAATGTGTCAGAATTTCATTTTCATCGCAGGTTTCGTGGCGGAGAAGATAACGTAAGCATCTCTGGTAAAAATCATGGGCGATGTCATGACGCAAATAACAGAGTAAAAAATAAGAAAACAGTGCGAGAAAGTGTGAGAAATGACGGAGAAACGGATGAATTATTTATAAAAACAGCATTTTGCCCTAGGAGCCAAGTGAGATGGCGCCTCCTCTCACTTTTAAAGTGCATGCGCCATCTCACTTGGCTAAAAGAGAGAGGAGGCGCCAAGTGAGATGGCGCCTAGGGCAAAAATGTTGGTGGAGGCGCCAAGTAAGATGGCTCCTCCTTTGGAGAGTCATCTGAAACATGGTTATTTGCGTAATTTTTTTCGAAACGTGATTATTTGCGAAATTTCTTTTAATACCTGATTATTAAAAAAAAAATTCAAATATATTAGTCTCCTCAAAATAATTAAAATAATGTGTGGCGAATATTTTACTATGTCAAATATGATAAGCAACATGAACATGAAAGGATGCAAATGGTTGTTTATTTTAACAATTATACTCTTTATTTTGACAATTATACTCATGAATTTATTCACTATTTATTTTGGTAATAGCTATAAATAGTTAGTTTTTTTTTACGGGAGCTATAAATAGTTAGTTAATTTGCTATCCATTAGTTTGTGAGACAATGAGAATGGTTTGATGATTAACTCATAAGATACCGTGTTGTTACAATTATACATTGAAATTTCAGAGTAACTAGTTTCTTTCCAACAGTACGTGATTTGTAGATACAGAAACTTATGTTATTCTTGTCTTGAAACCAATTCTGTTTTTGTGTTGTCTCGTCCTTATTTGACTAATATGTCATTAGATTTTACTGAGTTTATAATTGGACTCGGTTGTAAAAAATTAATCTAAAAATATATTATAGTTGAATAAGGAGAATTTGACTTACTATTCCCTCAAATTATATTTGATACTCCTCATATTTCATAATCCTAAAAATATCTCTTGTTAAAAAAATAACAATTTTTCAGTGAAATTTCCTATATGTATGAAATTTTCAGTAATTTATTTGAAATTTCTCATAAATTATAATTAATTCCGAAAATTTCAAAATTCTGATAAAATTTAGGAAACTTTGAAGTTTTTGGTAAAAAATTTCGGAATTTTCGAAATTTCTAGTAAATTTTCTCGAAAATTTTAAAATTTCCGATAAATTTTCTCGAAAATCTTGAAGATCCATATCCGAAAATATATTTTTTTAATTAAAAATAGAATAATTTCGGATATACACCTTCAAAATTAAATTTATTTATGAAAAAGAATATGTTCGAAAATATATCTCTAAAAATAAAAGTATTTTTGTCAAAAACTTCTAAAAAGATATAAGAGTGCATAAAGAAATCCTCAAATATTATCTATCCTGCTTTATTTCAAAAAATCCTACCCTTTTTTCTTTCTACAAAACCCTTACCCAAAGGGAATTGGCCACAAAATTCTAAAATATATCCTTCAAATAGTTAGAACTTTGAATAAGTGTGTTCAACACATTAAATTCCTTCAAATATATATAGGAAGAACCAATGAAAATCTTCCATACATTTCCAAACCACATGGTTGATTACAACACTACATTTTTGCAAATATGATCTCACTCTAAATTGTTGCTGTTCATATACACTTTACAAAAGAATTAATATTTAATATGAATTGCTCTCTCTATCTTACAAATAACACATCATTCAAATCTCAAATAAGCCTATCAGATGAAGAATAATCATCTTTACTTGGATAAGATATGGAAGAATCAACCCATGGTCCATCCATTGATTTGCCTCTTAGCTCTCTACTATCTTGTAAGGATGTTGAAGAAACATTAGTTTGGCTATCATGTGATAGAAGCTCAAAGGCTTTAAATCTTGCGCCACTTGTACTATCGCTTCGCTTGATTATCGGCGCTTGAATTGGAGTGTTTCCTTCAAGCATGCTCACTACAGATGACATTGGTGGTCTAAGAGTTGGAGATGGATTGGTGCAAAGGAGTGCCAATTGCAGCATTCTCATGGCCTCTTCTGCTGAGTAGTTTGAACCAAGACTCGGATCCACCAACTCTAGAAGGTTTCCTTGTTCTTGGAGAACATAGGCCTTGAATGACATGCAAGATATAGTAATAGAAATTTAACCAAACCATAATTGTAAATTTAGAAACAAGAGAAATCACAATGAAAAGAAATACCAAGTGTAGCTTACCCAGTCCAGAAGATAAACAAATTCCTCTTTTGGCCTATAATTTGTGTTGCTCATTCCACTTACAATCTCCAAAGCTACAACTCCGAAACTATATACATCTGCTTTGTCGGTCAAGTAACCCCGCATAGCATACTCAGGAGCCATGTAGCCTCTGATAATTGAACATTTAATACCTTTATGTTAGTGATATTAAAAGACAAAGCGAAACAATTCCTAGGTAAGACTACTTAAATGATTGTATTAGCACGAAATACACAGATTGTGATTAATATTGCAAGCATGGCCATAAATTGCAGTTGCATTGCAATATTTGAAATTATAACAACTACAGTTTATACGGCCGCAATTGCAGTCACAATTTAGTCACAGAAACTTTCAAAACTTTCAAAACCATTGTGTCCGCAATTGTGGTTGTGAACCACAATTTAAAATTATGAATGCAAACCGACTAATCATAAACAAAGTATCTAGGATTCAAAACTTTATAATATTATGGTATAATACTAACATTGTCCCAGCTATTCGCGTGCTGATATGAGTGTTTTCTTCTTCATCGAGCTTGGCTAAACCGAAATCAGAGATCTTGGCATTCAGATGCTTATCAAGTAAAACATTAGCTGCTTTAATATCTCTGTGTACTATTTTCAACCTTGATTCCTCATGAAGATAGGCTAAACCTCTTGCTATCCCTACACAAATCTTCATCCTCGTGCGCCAGTCCAAGTTCAACTTTTGTTCGGGCTTACCTAGAAGAAAAATTGTCTTTTAAAGTTTGATTTCAACTTACAATGAACCTATATACAACCAAAATCTGTTCCATGAAGCCCTTACCGAAAATAGCGCGAGCAAGACTATTGTTCTCCATGTATTCATATACAAGCAGCAATTGGTTTCCTTCAATGCAACATCCATAAAGTTTCACAAGATTGGGATGCTGCAAAGCAGATATCATGCCTATTTCGTTTACGAATTCGCGGTTCCCTTGCTTTGATTTGGACGAGAGCTGTTTAACAGCAATCACAGCACCATCTGACAGTATACCCTGTGAAATAGGCAGTGCCTTCAGTATCATAGTTCCAGATAACCTTTTAACATATAGTTTATCTAAATTTACCTTGTAAACTGGCCCAAATCCTCCTTCACCTATCTTATTTTCTGGATCGAAGTTATTAGTAGCAGCTTTAATTTGTCTCAAACTGAAATAACCTGTTTTCAATTCTAGAAGTTCTGCAATAAGATAAGTATTTTCTCAGGAACAAGAAGTGAAAATAAAGAGGTTCATGGTTCATACCATGAAAACTAACACATAACATTTTCCTATTTTTAGAAAAGTGTTAACATGTTTTATTTATTTAGACCTAAAACGTTACCTTTGTCTGTTTGATCTTTCCGAAAAATGTAACCCGTCTTCCAAAGGACAAAGAGTATCAGCAAAACAAATGCCAATGATCCAATCACAATTCCAGCAATTGCTCCAGCAGACAACCCATTCGAAGGAATTTTAAAGTCTAAAGCAAATTATAAATGTCTTTAAGAATATGAAAAACAATGTAGTTTAAGGTTATGAAATCAAAACAATATGAAAACTAGTACTTACTCGGGGTCACGGTGATAGCAGATATAAGAGGTCCATATACACCTCGCATAGGAACTGCATTAGTTCCTTTTCCTGCCCATGACAAGTGGATTTGCAAGGTGCTATCATTAACATCAACATTGAAGTCTCGACTAATTTCCTTGCCAACTCCACCGGCTTCTTCCATAATGTTGAAGTCTTTTAAATATTTATGACCCTGTCATTATATAGTTTTGAAATTCAGAACTTTTGATTTGTTAGAAACCAGATACAAAATATGAGCAACGTTCTAGTAGAAACTAGAAACTAAGCGCCGGTTTGGATTAGTCTATTTGAGTTTATCTGCTGACATAAGTACAAGCAGAACTAACTGTTTGTAAGAGCTTATAGGAACAGCTTAAGACATGTTCATAAGCTGTTTTCAACTAAATCAACAAGCTCTATATGATAGCTTATGAAAATAGCTTATAGAAGATAGTTTTTGAAAATAGCTTATAAATATAAGTGAATAGTTTGACTTTATGGTATCTTTTGTCATAGAAATAGGTTATACATAAGCACTTATATGGTAAACGTTAATGCTATAAGTGCTTAATTAAGATACTTGCCAAACAAAGTCTAAGAAATAAGTAGTTGTGGATTCATTACTTACTTGAATTGAAACATCAAATATGCGCCTTCCAAGGCTGCTAAAAGTCCGGTCATTAGAAAACATTATCTCAGCAAAATGAAGTTTCACATTATAATTTCCCTTCATCATACAAAATCCAAAGTAGTTAAGAGATATCGGCGCAATGCGGGCTGTTTGGTATAATCCAGAAGAGTCTTTAATATTCAAAGAGAAAACATTTCTTGCCACATAATCAGCTTTTTCATTTCCTAGAAATACTCCTGTGCTGCTATAAGCCCACTTTCCATCAGCACTCTGAACAAAGTTCGAAATTCCACGTAAAAGTTCGTCGGCTTCATAGTCTTTGTCATCAACCCCAATCGCAGGTCCTCCACAATTTATGAACAGTGAATGATCTGCAGAGAAATATTAACAAAAATATTTTTTCATCACATGTTAGAAAAGAAGCTATCACAATTACATTTACAAAGCATTGTACTTTATGAAAATGCGATTGATCTAACATGTCTGAACACTCACACTGAGATTTTCCCGAACAAGGTAGGTTCGCCTTCAAACAAGACAGTCTAAAAAATAAGAAGTTAAATTCAGAAGATTGTTCGAAAGATGATACATAATTGAAACTAGACCATAAGTACAATCACACGAACTTACGAAGTGTTTGCTGAAGAAGAGACACTGGAGGCTAAGTTCCTGTTCATCAACAGTATTATGCTCAGTATTGACATACACAAAATAATTGTAAAATTCTTGGAAAAAAAGATGAAGCTTACACGTCCAAGGGCTGGCAAGTAGTCGCAGAAGACTCGGAAAAATTGTTGAAAGATAAATCACTGAAACATAAAGCATGTATGTGTTAATTACTTCATAATTCAACGAGTGCTCAAAACTAGTTGTGCCCGCGTAACACCAAAATTTCAACAACTAAAAGGTAAAAATTAGTGGTAAAAAAATCAAGAAAATGTACTGACAAGTTCTTTTTGCTGGTCAATATCCATCCGGGAGTTGTTCCACTTAGAGAGTTGTTCGTCAGAAACCTGCATCCACCATTAATATGTGCCTTGTTTAAGTCACCGTGTCACCAAAAGCATATAATAATTGAGAAAAGATAAACATTTTTGTTCACTTACATGAAATTGATATTTTCCAAATTCTCAAATGAATCTGGAATTGGACCCGTCAATCTATTGGAGCTCAAATCTCTGAAAGAAAAAGGCGCGGATTATTATGATAAAGAAACTATATAACATTATGATTTAGTTCAATAGTCTTCAAAATAACTTTCCAAACTATAAAAAAATGAAATACATCATTGCTCCAACTTACAGTGTTTTTAAATTTTCCATTTCACCGATAGAGTCTAAAATAGGACCAGTGATTAAGCAATTTCTCAATTCCCTGAGTTACGGAAACAAAAAACCAGTTACTAAAATCCCAAATGAGTTGTGAAGTTCTTCGTATAAAACACGGAAGGAATGGTTTCAACTCACAGTCTTGTCATGCGTGTCAAATTTTTCAGATCAGGAAATGCCATGGTTGTGTTCCCCTTCAAATCAGATATTCTCCTGTTACATAAACATTTCATCAATCAAAAGAAAATCTTCATCCAGTTAAAATTGCATTCCATAACCATGGCAGACAAAGTACTCACAATTCCTTCAAACTTTTCAAGAGAGATATCGCAGGAGGAATTGGACCTTCCATCGACGTGCCTTGTAAATCTCTACAAAATAAAATCTTACTTAGACTTAAGCATGATATATCCTTATTTAGTTCTACGACAAATAAAACGCCATGGATGAACCGAAATGTATACTCACAATCTTTCAAGTTTCGTCCAGTTTCCAATAAAACTCGGAATCTTCCCAGATAAACTACTTCCGTCTATCCTACTGCAGAATATTGAGTAATCTCAGAATTTAACAAATACATAAAGTAAAAACGGAGAAAAGTCGTATCATAACATATCATATCACTCACAAATCAGTTAGATTCTTTAGATTTCCATATGATTCTGGTATTGCCCCTGTAAAATTATTTGCAGAAAGCTTTCTGCAGATTCATTTACAGTATACAGAAAAAAATTAGAAATGTGAAACCATATGAAGCACGGACATGGACACGCACACGGACAACGGGTATGACACCAACACACAGACACATCAACACCGGTAATAATTTGAAAAAATGAATAAATTGAACATAATCTCGTGTCAGTGTCGTACGGACACAAACATGTTTTTTTCCAGAGGTGTCAGTACTACATAGTACTGGTTAGGGAAAATTGCAATAAATATTGTAATGGCTCTTAAGATTAGACCTATATATAAAAATAAAAAGGCTAAAAGAAACAAATCTCACAAATCCTCCAAGTGTTTCAAATTTCCAAGGCTAGGAGGAAGAGGTCCTTCAAGTAGATTATCCTCTAAGGTCCTGCGAAAATTGGATCATAAACATGATTATTCCACTTCCAATGTCAATCAATATAGCATCAAATTATTCTCAGAAACACTTACAGTTCTTGCAGGGTTGCAATATTACCAATTTCTGAGGGAATTGGACCACTAAGTTGATTTCCCAAAAATGCCCTGAAAATTATATATAAATATGAAACACAGACACTAGAAACATGTGGTCGACTCTAACATGTCGACACCGGTAATAATGTGGTTAAGGTGTTTAAATATAATGTGTTCAGTGAACTTACAATGTCACAAGTGAGAGGACTCCAAGAGTGTTTGGAATTGAACCATATAAATAATTCCTAGAGAGATCACTGCTCAATATAAAAGTTTAAGTTAGTTTCTTTTCATTAACATAATAAATAATACTAACAATTAATGACTTAATGAGAAAATAATGTAATCACTTACAGTACTTTGAGTTGAGTGAGATTTCCAAATTCACTTGGAATAACTCCAGATATATTCAGACCCTTGAGCAAGCTACCATAACAAAATATAGAACTTTAATTTAAAATATTGCACATATGTTGTGAGAATGAATAAAATTTCAAAACTTTTACCATCTTTAATTTAATTTTTTGGGAGTGGTTTTAGAAACTTACATATTTGTGACATGGCAAACAGTGCTAGAATTGAAAGTACAAACACATGTGACACTGCTTAAAATATCCTTCGAAATATTCTTGTTACCAAATCCATTATCATCATTGCAAGAACCTTGTGTAACCTTCCAATTCAAGTTTCCTAACTTGTCCGATATTGTTTGTAGCAATTTCACTGCAATACAACACAAATCAAATAAATTTTACACTACATTAGTCTCATTTTTGTTTAAAATTAAGCAAAAACATTGATCTCTCCAAAATCATCAGAAAAAAAAAAAGTATTTCTTATTATTTTTCTTAATTAAATGATATAAAAGTTAGAGCATACTTCTGTAGCTCTCATCATGGTCAAAAGTTTTAATAAATTAATTAAATAATTGACATTCAAACTATGTTACTTTTTAATAGTTGGTGTAACCAGCAAGTCATGCATGGCGGGTAATATAATAATAAAAGAAAAAAAAGAACTTTTCATGCAGAAGAATTATGTGTACACCTTTTTTTCAACTTTCTTATCCTAAAGACTTCTCGAATAAATCAACTAAGCGTTTTAATCCTATTAAATTATTACCTGCTTTGTTTTATATTGACTGTCATATGATTAAAAATAATAAAATGTTAAGTAAACTAACCTGTTAATTTAGAGTTAAAGTTAAAAACAAACACGGTGACACATATCTAAATCTTTTTGGGTGAACATATCGAATTATAAATTTAACTATGATTTAAATTAATTATATTTTAAACATATTAATTAAGAGACTAATAGTTATACATAAAATATTTTACACTTATCACATTCATTCATAAATAATATTTTATATATAATTAAAATAAAAGTTAACAATTTACAAAAATTTAACGACTATGATTAATGTTTTTACACCATTAGTGCTTGAGTAGTATCTTATTAATTAAATGTTGTGGGATTTTGATGTGTGATTAGTATATTTTAAATGTGACAATCATTAAAAGAGATATTGAGAAGTACTCAACATCTTAATTAATTGAATTTTAAATGATAATAATCCAAGCTGTAAAAAAAAATGATAATAATCCAAGTAATATTAACATACGAATAGGGAACAAAGTGTTTGACTAATACAGTGCAGAGGTATTAATAATACACCAATCGCCAGCACATCACGTACACAGCTTAATTTGTCCCCACCTCTTAACTTTCAACATGTTACCTTCACCCACTACTTCTAAATATATTATTAACAATAGATAACTTCTTTTTCACATTATTAAAATATATTATTAACAATAGATAACTTCTTTTTCACATAATTAAAATATATTGAACGCCTTCCTTAAATCTTAGGTCATATTGTAGAGAAACTATGGTCATGTTTGTTTTAGTTTTAAAAAAATATATTTAAAAAAAAATATTATATATCCTATAATATAAATATATATATTAAAAATTAAAATATAGTTAAAATTGTAATTTAAAAAAATATTTTAAAAATGATTTTTATGAAAATCTATTTAAAATAGTTTCAAAATTAAGTGATTTTTTCAAATTTTAATATCTAAAAAAATTATGAAATACTTAAAATAATATTTTAAAAATAATTATTTAAATAAAATTTTCAATTGAAGCTTTTATAAAAAATTTCTTTATTACACAAAATTGTATAATATTATAAAAATTATTTTAGAAAAAAACAAAACAAAGGTGTCATATATCATTCCATTAAACGCTATGAGAGTTTAAACTTTCATATTTACGATTGTGCTTGTAAATTCGTTGCGGTATTAAAAAAACATATTGAACAAAAAAATAATATTTCTTAAACAAATATTTTTAATAGAATATTATAACATAATTTATTAGAGAGATTCTAAATTTTACATTGAGTAGATATAGTTTCTAAATAATTTTTATAAATCTTCCAATTTTATCTTACAACTCCATTTTATAAGAATGAATTAAATCAAACTTTAATATGATTTCATAGTTTATTGATTGGATCATGGGTTGCTCATAGTTAATATCATGCATTAAGGCCAAAAAAAAGAACATTAAGAGTGAGGGAGAGTATTAGAAAGATTTCAAGTCTCATATTGATGAGACATATAACATCTAAAGAGTTTACATAGAGTGACATCATTTACCTTATAAGTTAAATTAATTGAATTAGATCAAATTCTAATATAATTTAATCTATTTAACCAACGTAAATGAAATGAAATTTGATTCTCAGAAATGTTAACTCCGTTTAGTCAATTCAAGTTTTGATTATTGTTTCTTGCTATTGAATATCATTTATGGTATGTTATTTCTTCTGTTTATGGATGTCGTTTAAACAAATATAATTTATTTTAAAATGAATGTCATTCTCATTATTCAATGTAGAAATAAATGTTATTTTTTCAGTTACGTCTTTTAATTATTACCCTCTATACTGTTCTCAATACATTTATTCCCTCCGTTCCTTTTTAAGTGTCACTCTAGAGAGAGAAAATTTGTAAGTGTTATTTCAAAATTCAAAGTAACATTGATTGTAATTTTGTCAAAGTTACACCTAATTATTTATTATATATAGAGAGAAAAAATCAAATAAGTTAATAAAAAGTTAAGGTTGTTTTTAACAAAAAGATAATCATTATTTAAAAATTAACAACATTTATTAGTATTCTTGGTACATCTAAAAAAAAAAAAAAGTAAAAAATGACACTTAAAAAAGAATAAGGGAGTATAAGACTATATAAAAATAGGGATGTTGAAAAAATTATTTAATAGTTGAATAGATGCAATGAGATTATTAAATAAAGAGTTGAAAGTGAGATGGATTAATATCTATTAAAAATATTCTAACATGTTGAATGAGGAGGAAGTGAAGTCACATATAATACTTTACAAAATTTTATTGATTGTTGTGATTGTTTAGATTTTTATTTATAAATAAATATTTGGTTCATTTGATTTGGACACACACAAAAAATCAACTTTTTCTCTTTATTTTTTCTATTTAATCTCCAATAAATTGTTATTTTATCCACTTTTATTTATTTTAATAATAATTATTCCTATAAAATTAAAAAATAAAATAAAATAAATTAAGAATATAAAATTAGAAAAAAATTAAAATAAATTATTAAATAAGAAAAAAATAAATTATTTAACTCTTAATTATTTTAATTTTATTTCAATCGATAATTAATATTAATATAAAATCATAAAAACAAAAATATAAAAGAAAATAAAAATAAAAAATAAAAATGGTGGGAGAGAGTGTTGAATTTTATTAAATAAAATCATTGTAGTAAACAAAAGTTAAATTTGTGTCGAGTTATTATGTAGAAAAAAGAGAAGATCATCTAGAATATTAAAAATGAAAAAAAAAAGGTGTTAAATATTTAAATTATTGTATATAATCTAAGATTAATATAATAAAAGTACAATATATTATAACACTTTTGTTACATTTCTTAATTTATATAAAATAAATTTAAAGAAACACTTATTTTAAAAGGGATGGAGTATTCAGTATTAATGATTACTATATAACCTATATAAAAGTAATTTTATAATTAATTAAACATAAATATATTTTTAATCAAACAACTTGTTTTTGTATTTAAGCAAATGGATGAGTCGGGGAGAGTCCTAATCCTAATGCCTAATCTTAATGCAGCTAAACTAGGGAGTCAAATTTTCTGGCCGTTCAGACGGTTCTGATTTAAGATTGATATTTTTTAATTATTATATAAAAGGTAATATTATTTTCTTTGGATTCTACTATTAAGATCTAACGGTTATAAATAGCATGAATAAAACTAGAGTCTTATCAATAAAACTAATGTCTTTGTTTACCTAATATAAAAAAGAGACAAGTCTAAGGGTCCCACCTATGTCTATTATAGACGTGGTTATCATCACATTATAGGATATAATCAATCACCTATTAACAAAACACTAAAAAGTTAACAGAAAAAAACAATATTCACTTCTAATTCAAATCACTTTTATTAAATTTATTTACTAAAGCAAATGTAGTAAATGAATTCATTGAAACTGACTCGAAAAAAGTAAATTAATTTCAAAATCAAAAATTTATTTTCAATTTTTTGAATAAAATCAATTTTATTCAAGAACAATTAAATACATAAAACTCAATTCTACAGTTATAGAATCAAATTATTTCTTTCAAAGAAAATGATATTGAACAAGTTAATTGCAGCAATCATGAACAAAATTCTGGAAATGAAAACATGAAAACACTTTAGACAAGTTACGAAAAACGCTAGAACGTTAAAGTTTGTTTCACCGTAAAATTCAAAGTCGGTTTCAATTTTCACAATTCTGAACCGAAAAACAAAACAAAACAGTTTGGGAAGTTACTTATTAATGATTTTTGTTCCAAAGCATAAGCCAAATTGAAACTAAGAAATGAAATGAAAAGTACCTTCATCTTGTGGTAAGAGTTTAGCGTTGGATCCGAACATGGAGAAACAATTGAAAACCAGGAACAAAAAGAAGAACATAGATACATGTTTGAAGCTTGACATTAGAGAACACAACACGCTTTCGTCTAGGTCGTTTAAGGAATAATTTTTTTTTCTTCTCTGTTGTGTTGAGAAGAAGCTTTTTTAGATTTGGAATGAAAAACGACAGGGAGAAAAGTTGAGATATGATTAAACAAATCGAAACGCAGAAAAGATTTGGTTTGGTAAGGGGTTATTTGTTTGTTTGCTGGAGGGAAAGGCAAGTAGAAATGGTTTTTACTTTGTCTTGCATTTTTAAAAATAAAATGGAATGTATTAACTCTTAATAACATTCAACAATAAAATTCAGTCAAAATAAAATTCAACACACATGGTTTTAATTAAAAAATAATACACTTTGTGTGTGTTTGTTTCTACGTTTAGTTGCCGCTGCCGCACATTTTTTGATCCATCTAGTGTGATTTTTAGAAGTAGGTATGAGTAGCTTTTGTGTTACCGTGGTTTTCTACGGTGATTTCAATATTTTCTATTTTGAATTGAATGTGTGTTTGGTCCAAATAACATACGAGGCCAAATCCAACCATGTTACAGGTGAAGGACAGCAAGAATGAGATTGTCCTTGACTATATCGGGCAATGACTCCACCTTTGAATCGACAACAGGCTTTCTGGATCTTTCTCGCTATAGGACTGTCGAGGAGTGTTAACAGCTTCCAGGAGGCTTTGACGGACACCCTCCTCGTAGGGCAGACGCCCACGTCTCTGAGTATCTCAGAGTCAACTTGACCCTGAAAATACCGTAATCATGTCCTCCTAGTAATTCGAAGCAGTCCACTCAGGAGGGAGACTACATGTTGGTCTCCACTACTCACGTAGATCTTGATGGCCTTCATTTTAGGTCTGCTCTGTCAGCCTAATATGGGGATCTTAATTCAGCATTGTGGGCTATAAATACCCTCTCACTTGAGAGGGTCAGGTATTCATTGATTCATCCATACTCTCATATTCTAGTTGCACTTACTCAGAACCTTACTTTGACATCAGAGTGTCTTGCAGGTACCCCATGTTACCTTAAAATTTCTTTGAGGCAACTATTGCATTGTTAGTAGGGCAGCCCTATGAACTGAAGGGAAAATGTCTTCCAGGAGTAGGAACTTTAAGGAGAATATAGTCAAGAAAATGATAGCTGAAAAGTTCTTATAAAAGCCAAAGAGAAATCGACGAAAAAGAAAAAGCAAGTAGTCGACAGATGAGATAACGAGCTAGTCGACTTTGGTTCGTTGACACAAGTGGAATCCAAGACTTAGGAAATTTAGGTTATTTGTTCCCAGTAAGGGTTGATGTCGAAAGCAAAATTTATGGGCGGGATAGATTTAAAATTTGAATATTGCAACGGTTGCAAGAAGTTTTCTGAATCAAGGCGCCAACTATGTGGCTAAGTCTTAGGAGACAGTTTCTATTAAGCCACAAACGTGTCAACTTTGGATTTTATTGAACTGCATGTTCAGTTATTATGTAACTACTATAAATAAGAGGGTTCAATGTAGGATTCAGGGTGCTCACTTTATACTGAAATCACTTGTAAAACTTCATATTTTCAAGCGTAAGGAAGCAAAAAGTTCAAGAGTGTGAATGTACGTGAATCACCACATTTATTTCAATGCAAACTCCTTTCTTTTCAGTTGTGTCCTTTAAATCTTTTACTTGTATCTTATTTACTTTTGAACAGTCTTCTTACATTGTCATTTACTTTATTGAATCTCATTCTATCACAATACTGGAGTTCACCGAGAATTCGCTCGACAGTCACTTTGTCTAAGAGAAGTCCTAGCCCTCTGTCGGTCACGAGTCACCTTCAATCGGTCAATTCATAGCATATTTATGGAAAACTTTCACTTGTTCTCTTTGTTTAGAGAAAACTGTTTCTCACAAAGGCTTCGCGTCGACAGAACAAGTCCCATTTCGTTTCTATTAACACATGTCTTAGGATTAACTAGTCGATCCTGTCAATAACCCTTAGTTTTAGACTTAGGCAGGACTAGTGGTTGTTTACCCAATTTCCACAGTAAACAAATTGGCACACTCAGTGGGACCAGTGCTAGTGGAATCTATCTAGTCAATTTTCAAATGTTTATGGGTATATGAGAGTTAGAAGTGGAAATTTAACCAAAGAGTATATTAAGCCACAAGTTAAGCAACGCATATCGAGGATGACTAATCATGGAAACACTAATGCGGATGTAGTACCGCCATGCATGATAACTACCACAGGTACATTAGTTTCTCAAGTTGTGCCTTTTTCTGCATTAGCAAATACAACTACGTCAATGTCGACTGCAGGAACAATAACTACCCCCCAGGCTCCACCGGTGAGTCCATGGCCTGTAATAACTACGAACGTAATACCTAATGTGCCTTGGTTTGGTACTGTTAATCCTATTTACGGAATGTTATATTATTTAATGCCAGGTTTAACGCGGTGGGAGAATTGACTTGGTTGTTTTGCGTTTGATCGCAAATGTTACGGTTAGCAAGAGTCGCCACCGACATTTCTTTTATCCAAAAGGAAAGGCTGAAAAGAACAGGAAAGACCTTTGAGATGTTTTCTTGAGTTCGGGGGGTAGATTATGAAAAGGGAAGGTATTAGCACCCTTTCCATCCATGGTTTTCCATGAGCTCTTAGTTACTTGCTAGATCACTTGCTTTTGTTTGAAAATGTGCTTTGTGTGGTTTTTGAAAGTACTTTGAAAAGACGCCATCGTTTAGGAAAATTTTGTAATGATTCTCGTTCGTAAGAATGTATACAAAGTGTTGATATTTTGAAAATATTTTCAAGTTTGAAATATGTTTTTGAAAGTGTTGGTGTTTGTTTGGAAAATAGCAAGGATGTTTTTGGTTTTGAAAATGAGCAAGCAACTAGGAACAATCTACCTACTCAAAAGTCTTTCAAGTTTATTTCCTCTTTCCTTTGACATTGTTATCTTACCATTGATTTGGTAAGTAACCCTATCTTTGGATGTAAAAGGGACGGGCAAGGATTATCGTATAGCCATGATTAACAATATTGTAAGATATCTTAGCATTTTCTTTAAGGGACTAAGATCAATTGTAAGGCAACATTCAAAGCGTCATCGAGGGACTATGATATTGTATTTTGCTTGTTTTTGCTAAGACACCTTACATGCATAATATGACCATTTTGTAAGGCAGCAAAGTGAGTTTATCCTAAGGGTGTAAGTGTGCAAGTGTATTGATTTATATGCTTGATTTGTCTTGATTAGGGTTTGCTACTTGTTGATTTTATTCTTGCCATACAAACCCTAATTACTAGCATTTGTATATAAAGCATTTAAATTGCGAAAATTAAAATTACTACGTTATTACATCATTAGGGGGGTGTACAAATTACAAATGGGGAATTGCAAGGAAATTAAATCTAAATAATTATTACAACCATATTGAATATAGTACAAAAATGAATAAATAAAAATACAAGAATGTAAATGTTAAAAGAAATGTGATTTTTGTTTGGTTTTCATGAAAAAAAGGTTTTTTGACCTAATTAACTAAAATAAAATAATTAACTAAAAATAAGGAAATTAAGATTAAGTTAATAAAAGAAATTAATTTATTAAAGAAAACAAGTTTTTTAGGATTTTTGTGAATTTAATTAAACTAGTAAATAAAATAAAAGTCCTAAGTTCTAAATTGATTTTAGTTTACAAGAAAATAATATAATAATAATTAAGACTAATTATCTAAGTATTAAAAAAAGGAAATTAATTTATTAAAGGAAATTTTTTTTGTTGTTCTTTTAGTTTTATGAAGAAAAATAAGCTAAATAAATATAATTAATAAAATATAGATATTTTTGGATTTTTATTGATAAAAATAATAATAATAATAAAATTAATAATAATAATAAAATAATAAAGAAAATAAAATAAAAATAAAATATAAAGAAAAGTCAGGGAGGTTAAAGTTGAATTTAGGAGGTTTGTTAGAAAAAAAATCTTGAAGTTGGCCCATTATTATTTTTTTGTAAACAGAAAAATAAAAAAATAAAAAAGAGATGGGTTGTGTGATATGAGCAAACATGGGGATATTAGTGAGTAAAATGAATCAGGGCCATGGGGTGGAGGCCCAAGCGCTACCTGAAATGGAAAATGAAAAAAAAAATATGGAAAAAATGCAAAAGGCAACGCTGAGGTTCGAACTCATGACCTCTACCAATAATGCGCGCTGCCTTACCACTGGAGTGGCTATACATCTGTTAACTTAACTAAAATGATAAATATATAATACAAAATGAGTCATGAATACACTTCATCTTCAACCTCCAGCCAAAGGACCTGTAACTTCATCATTTCTCAACCATTCATAAAACATCCAACATCAAACTTGTTAGAAATTTTCTCACGATTATGAATATGTAAATAACTTAAGCTAATTTTCAAAAATGAGCATGAATTTCTAATGGTACCAAATCCTTACCTAAATATTTTCAGAGATTCAGATTCAAAATTCTAACTACTCAAGCAACAATAATGAAATCTAAGGATATGGTTAGCTTTAGGACAATGATATCTACATTTCTTATTCACAAATAAACCATTAATGATGCTTGTATGAAGAGTTCAAGGTTAGGAAAACTTACCTCAAAACTTGAAATCGTGTTTTGAGTTTGAGCTTGTTTCAAGTGATGGTGATGATCAGGTTAGCTTCCTTGAGGTCCTAGGAAGTTAATGCAATGATTAGCTTGAGCAATGGATGACTGAAATGGTCTGGAGAAGTCAATGTGTAGTGCTCTATTTTTGTCTATGGAGGATGATGGAAATGGAGTTACAGTTGTGTAACAAGGACAGGGATGAGTTGTATTTGATGTAAGGAAGCTTTATGAACTAAAAAAAGGCCAAAGAACGCACGAGGAAAATATGAGTTACAAGTCCAAGGTCAGAAACTGTGCAATAATGGAGTTTTTGGGAAATTTATGATTTGAGA